TTATGCATTAGATGTGTGTGTATACAGACCAATGACAACCAATTATTGCTATCTTCCTTTAAAATTTCCATGATGTCTGTTCAGGACATTTTTTAGAAATGAAATGAAAGCATGACTGGTTTTATTATCTAGCTAGCTTAAATAAAGTACACTGTGGATTTCAAAATGCATAGTATGAAAATCCATCATCATCCTTTATGGATTTTGACTAGGGTCCTTTATTTAGAAAATTTCTAAAAAACTAGTATAAACAACACATGCAAGAAAGTGATTGACTACAATCAATCATACCTTTTGGGCAGCTCCACTATAAAGTCCATAGAGATCTCTCTCCAGAGTGTTGAAGGTTCTGGCACTGTTTGTAAAAGTTCAGGGAATTTGCCTTGTCTTCTTTTTGCAGCAGCTCAGATAGGGCAACTAGCAATATAGTTTTCAATATCTTTTTTGAGAGATGGCCACCAGAATTGTCTTTTGATGAGGTGCAAGGTTTTTACAAATCCAAAGTGTCCAGCTATTTTTGAGTCATGGCATCATTTCATGAGGTCCATTCTCTGGCTGGCAGGGACGTAAAGTTTGTTTTCGACCCAGGCTAGACCATCTTTGAGTAAGCAAATGTTTTTGTTAGCCTGGAGCCAGTCATTCTTAAGTAGTGCCTCCTTAAATTTGGAAGTCATTGCATTGTCAGTCAGTGGTTCTTTCTTCCTTTGTGCTTGGGTGATTTCTTTGGCTGCAGGTTGGATTGGTTGGATCCTAGGTTTTACAACTGCAATCTTTTTGCTGTTGTATTGGGGTTTCTCAGATAGTGCATCTGCCAAGAAATTCCTCCCTCCCCTGGGAGATATTTGAGAGTGAAATTAAAAAAAAAAAAAATATTGGGCCCACCATACTTGCTTTGGTGAGAGTTTCCATGGAGTTTTCAGGGCTTCTAGATTTTTATGATCAGTCCAGACTCCAAGGGGGATTTTGTTCCCTTCCAGGAAGTTTCTCCACGTGAGGAGTGCCCATCGCACAGCATATGCCTCTTTCTTCCATATGGCCCATCTTTGTTCAGTTCCTGTCAGTTTCTTGGAAGTATAAACACATGGTTGCAACTGTCCACGTTCATTCTTTTGGAGTAGAACTGCTCCAACTGCTACACCACTAGCGTGTGCTTGGTTGTTCAAGGTCTGGATATTTCAGGATTGGTTCTGCTGAGAATAGTTGTTTAAGTTTTTTTAATGCCACTTGGCATTCCATCATCCAGGTAAGGGGTTGCCCTGGCTTCAGCTTCTCCCCACTTTCATTTTTAAACAAGCTTGTGATGGGGAGAGTGATATTCGCAAAAGCTGGAATGAACTGACGGTAAAAGTTTGCAAACCCCAGGAAACTTTGCAGTTGTTTGCGAATATGGGGCAGCTTCCAATCGATGACAGCTTTTACTTTTTGCGGGTCCATCTCTATTCCCTAATGGGATATTCTATATCCCAGGTAGTCAATTTTTGCTTGATGGAACTCACATTTAGAAAGTTTTGCATATAGTTTGGCATTTTGGAGTTTTGTGGGAACTGCTCAGAGTAACTTTCTGTTTTCTTCTTTTGTTTCAGTGCATGGCAGATTATGGTCTATTCTTCTCAGATACCAATACAACCTTAAAAATGGCCTCATTCCCAAGACCCTAGGCTTAGGGCAACTTCCCACAGCAGCGGGAATACCTGAAGGCAGAGGGTGTTAAGAATCACCAAGTTAAATCAGGCTGCCTTTGGACTTGGACATTCAAAAAAATGAAAATAAATGCTCAATTAGAAGAATTTCTGATTGAACTCTATAATATGTATTGGGATATCATTGGATTATGTGAAACATTAGAAAAAGGTGAAACTTTTTGTTGAACTTGATAAGACTGGGCTACTCTACAGTAGAGGCACCGAAGATGGACGATGTGGCAATGTTGGTTTTCTCATCAACCAGAAGCTGAAACACTCTGTAATAAAATTTGAAAGTATATTATACAGAGTACTCCAATTCATCATTCAATTGAACAAACAATATAAGTTTCAAATCATCCAAACTTATGCACCAACAATAAGATATAGTGATGATGATGTCAAAGAGTTTTACAACGATGTGGCCTGCCTTCAAGACAAAGAAAAATGGCAATACAAAATACTAATGATTGACTTTAAATGCAAGAATAGGAAGAACAATACCTGGATAAAAAGTGATAAAAAGTGAATGGAAGTGGTGAACAAGGTAATAGAGGCGATAGGCTAATAGATTTTGCTAAAGGAGAAGAACTTGATATCATGAACGCATTTTGCAAGAAAAAAGCTAGCAGAAGACATGGAAGAGTCCATCTGGATATACAAATTAAATTGACTACATCATGTCAAGTGATAAAACCATATTCTGCAATTGCACTGTCATCAATCATTTTAACGTTGGAAGTGACCATAGAAAGGTATGAGTTAAAGTGAAGATAGAGTCGAAAAGAGTGTATGAAAATGATAAACACGCCATGAAAAACAAAAATAAAGAATGATAAGGTGTTAGAGAAGAACAGCGATTTTGAGATTAATCTATCAAATCGCTTTGCTGTATTGCAAGATTTGCAAGGGATTAACATTACAGATCAAAATGAACAAATAGTCAAAAACATCCATGAATCTGCTAATAATATAGCACCACCAGAAAAACATTTTGTACATTCAAAAATATCTGATGTAATTATTGATTTACTGAAAAAAATGATAGACAATAAAAACTACAAGAAGTTTCACTTATAAACTGGAGCATGTTGAACTTGGCAAGATCATAAGAAAACGTATCCAAGAAGAAATACTTCAGTTTAATGTGAAGCTTGTGAAAAAGGCAATTGAAGAAAACAAAGGGATTAATAGAGCAGAATCAAGCTTGTAGAAAGCCAGACTGGTATTTTCATATAATTTTGTACTTTATTTTTTTCCCATACCAAAAGTAAAGCATTCCTCACATAATTTCTTTGAAAATATCTATGTATCATACTCCTTCCATACCATAAGAAAGCATGCCATCCTAATTGAAGATCATGTCCCTCCAATAATAATAATCTATGTTTCAAATTTATCCATTCTTTTACCCATGTAAGTACAGATGCCTGACAATATAGCTTCCAATCTAGTAGCCCAAAGCCCCCATTGTTTTTAGATTCTTGTAACATTTTCAATTTTATTCTTGCATTTTCCCCTTGCCGTATATACTTTAAGATTGTTCTATTTAATTCTTCAAAATATTTTTTCTCTACTTTTATCGGTATCGTTTGGAATAGAAAAAATAGCTTCAGTAATATATTCATTTTTATAGTGGCTATTCTCCCTATCATTGATAGTTGTAGATTCTTCCATTTCTCCAAGTCCAGCTTGATTTGTTACATTAATTTTATATAATTATCATCTTTAATTATTGCACATCTTGCTGTTAAATAGATATCTAGATATTTAACTTTCCTTACTATCTGAAGATCTATTTTGCCAATGTCTGATTTTTTTCAACATAGACCACCCTGTCCTTGAATGGCTGGGTGGACTGGACATTAACATTTGAACTATAAGAAGTCCATACATTTGCCATACACTAAATAATATAAAATCACTAAATGAAGTGTTGTAAGTTGAGGGCTACCTGTATTTCAAAAATAAACAAAAATAATTAAATGAACATCTATAATCATACATATGCCGAGCTTCCCCGGTTTAAAATTTAAAAGCATTTTAAAGAAGCAGTGTAAAAGGAAATATGCAGTTTGGTCTCATATTTATTTATCTGGCTTAGATCCTATTATTCATTCAGAACTGGAAGGTGAGGTAATTAGTATTTCATCCTCGTAGTTGTTCCTGGAACAAGTTGGGCTAAGAAAATATATCTTGTTCAAAGTCAACTCAGTGAGCTTCCATAGACCAGAATGGGGATCCCATCCTCTTAGTCAAGCACTCTATTACAGTCATGAATCTGGATCCCATCCTCTTAGTCAAGCACTCTATTACAGTCATGGCTTGATCCAATTTAGTTCATTATACTAGTGTTTCTCAACTTTGGCAACTTTAAGATATATGGACCTGAACTCCCAGAATTCCTCGCTAACATCATGGTAACAATGTTTGTTGGTGCAGGTTCTATATACAGATTAGTGCATCCACCCATGCCATGCTCAGATGCTTAGAGACCTCCAGAATTTCACTTTATCTTCAACTAAGGATCAACATTTCTAGGTCAATGAAGTAACACTGAGATTTCTGGGAATCATTCTGAAAACAGAATGTTATCGGGTTCTTGGGTGGTGAGAAAGCATTGTTGTTGTTTTTTTCCTATCTGTTAAGGAAAACAAGATTCCGGTGCTTTACCCTGTAGCCATTTCTGGATTCCTGCACTGTTCTAAGCCAGAGTTATGCAGCCATAAGAAAAATTGCAGAACGAACGTTTCTTCATCAGAATTATAAATTAGTATGTAAATGGATGTATTTATCAATGTTTATAAGACGCCCCATGCAACGCATATCGGCAAAGCCAGAAGAGCCATCCATCCGAGAGTCCTGTGGCCAAGGGAAACTTCGGCCAGAAAATTTGAAAGTTGAAATTCAGGCAGCGCGCAGGTCCTTTGGACAGTTTCCTTCTATTTCCGAAGGGCTTCGACTCCCCCCCCCCCCCCCCCCAAAAAACCTCCCACTTTTCGCAGAATAAAAGTTGGTGAATTTTGAGGAAGGAACTGCTTGCCGACACAAGGAATGTGCGGCTGAGGATTTGGGGACCCCCGACCTTTGGCTCTGATTTCGGCAGGTCCGGCAGCGCCTTGGCGGAGAATCAAATGGGAGCTCGGGAGCCCCTTCAGCACTAGGTGCCCGGGATCCAATGGTATTTAGGAAGGCCGATGCCCATCCAATGACAGACGGAGCCCCCGCTCCTCAACACCCTCGGCAGCGCTTTTCATTGTCGGCCACGACGATTCTGCCTTAAGGATCATTGGCAGAAATTAATGAGGTCGGACACACCTTCCACCCACTTCCCGACTCTCCAGAGAAGCTGCGGGCAACCCGCGGAGAATCGCCCGGCAAATTCCCGAAGCTGCCGCCTCATGATCGCCCGCGAACGGCCGCGGCGGAAGCAGGCGGCAGCCAGAGTAGGCGAACCCCCTCTCCGCGTAAGGGCAGCCCAACGCTCCGGAGCCGGGACTGCAGTTAGCCTTCCCTCCTCTCGGCCATGCTTCCGAGCGGCCTCGCTTGGCACTCCGAAAGTTCCGCCGCTCTGCTCGGCTTGCCCGGGGCCCCGGGTTTTGGCAATCTGGGCAAAAGTTTTCTGATTGAGAACCTGCTGAGGGCCGGCGAAGGCCCGTCGCGCCTCTCGCCGAGTCTGCCCGCCGCTCCGATCCCGCTCAAGTTGCGGGAACCAATGCGCGTTGCCGGAGAAGGCGCCTTCCCTGTCTGCGCCTGGCCTTTCCAAGCTTTGAAAGCTTCAGCAGCGGACGGCGCGGCTACGGAGGACACAGGAGGCGCGTTCCCAGCAACAGCCCCAGGTGAGCGACTACCTCCCGCGAGCTGTCCACGGTGGAAAAAAAATTCTGGGGCTGGGATCTCGCTTTCAGTCCTACGCAAAGGCTAAGCTCTCCTAGCAAGACCTTTCTGTCAACACAATAACGGGGCTCATACATCGACGTCAGTCATCCTGGGTTGGTTCTGGGTTAGCATGTCCTATGGACGCGGCTGCTGCCGTGTGTGGGGGACTCCAGCCAGATATCATGGCTTAGTAGACTGTGTAAACACAACCCGGGTGCAACTTGTTTAATGAACAAATCATTGCTTAATATAGGATGTGAATCCAGATTTACAGAGCAACTCTAGCGATAACTTTTCTGAAACCAGTTTCTGTGATTTCCATAGATTTAGTTCCAGATGGGTGAATGGTGCCTTAGAAAGGCTCTATTCGGGTGGGAACCCAGTGGGAGAGTCATTACATGGATCTCTCATTTCAACAGCACTGATCATAAGCTCCTCAACAGGATGGCTGAAATGCTCAGGATAAGATGCTTAGGATAAGAATTAACTTGGGACAGAATCAGACTCTCAATCTGGTAAACGGTAAATATTTCTGCTTTACTAAACGTAGAGGATTCTACCCTGTTAGCAAGCAATGTATTTTCAGATTCACAGAAATGGCACAGTGTGCTGGAATTTTATTTGTAAGGCCCTACAGCCTGTGAGGGCTGACACCAGCACCTCTTACTTATAACCTTTCTTTTAGTTTTTAATCAGTGGAAGGCTACTGTCGGCCTTCTTGTATCTCACATTTGAAACGTGCCTTATTGACTCCAACCTGAACCTATTCAAAAGGGCCTGCAGGAGGAACAAATCACCTAACCGTTTTTTCCCACCAGGATTCATCAAACAATGACTCTTTCATCTTCAGCAAACTATTGTGTTTCTCCACGGTCTTATATTTTGGGGGGCTCCAAAATAGGCATTGGGGCTTATTTTGGGGGAAACACGATATCAGGATGAGCAGCCCGGCTGGGTGCCCCACCTCCCAGCACACACAGAAGAGGCAGCGAGTGCGCGGGGGCTGATGGTGTCCGACACCAACTTCAGCCCCCTCGTCCCTTGGTCGGTACATTCTGGGGTTGTGCAGCCTGCACAGATGAGTTGATTACCTGTCCAAAGAGCAGATGAAGGCAGAGGCACAGGCAGAGGAGGCACACAATCCTGACACACTACCAGGCCATGGGAAAGCTAGAGACGGTGGGCTGAGTGAGTAGCCAGTTGCTGGAGACTTGTCCTTGGGTGGCGGCACCAGCAGCAGACGGAGGCAGAGGCATGGGGAGGAAGGCAGGTGATATGGCTGCCTCACACGGCCATGGGAAAGCCAAGAATTGGAGGGCTGGCTGTGGGTGGTTCATCTTTGTGTGGTGGCATCAGCAGCAGAGGCAGAGGCATGGAGGAAAGCAGGCAATCTGGATGTGCTGTGCGCGCCGCAGACAAGCCAAGAGACATGAAGACAAGGCTCCTGCAGCCAGCCGCCCACTCCGGCCCACTGACTCTCAGCTTTCCTGTGGCCTGTGCAGCATATCCGGATCACATACCTCCCCCACTCCACTTCTGCTTCCACCTGCTACTTGGACATGTAAATGTCCAAGTAGCAGGTGGAAATTTGTGCTACGTGAGCTGCAGCTGCTGCCAGACACCATCAGCCCCTGTGCCCTTACCGCCTCTGATGCTGGTCACACATGACCTTAACTGGGACTTACTTTTGGGGTAGGGCTTATTGTCAGCCCTAGAGCCATCTTTAATGGGGGTCTTCAGGGCTGCCACAGTGGTGACTGGGCAAGCTGTGGGAATGGGAGGGTGGAGGGGGAGATAGTGTGGGGTGTGTAATCATAACAACATTCTTTCCCTTGGGAATCAAGGACATCTTGCCAGCACCTGGGTAGATGTAACTGGAAGTTAACCGAAGTTGGGATAGTGACCTGATTGGACCATGTGATGCATATGGGAATGAAGGAACTTTGACTTTACTTTGGGTGGGGAAAATGCGGGGCCTTCAGATTCAGATATGCCAATATGACATATCTAATAAATTTATGCTTTGAGGAAGATGCCCGCTTCAGAGTTTTGATTCTATTGGGGATGTTATTTGGAACCCTGATATATTAGGAGCATGCTAAAAAAATCAGGCTGAGCGTTATTTGGGGGAGAATATGGGTAGTTGTGGCATTGTGTGCAAGTTGCAACTTCCAAACCAACTCCAAGGAGAGCACCATACCCAGTGTGTTGCTTTAAAATGGTCACAGATGCAAATGCTATTAAATGGAATGATAGATAATGCTGCTTCAAATTTATATAGCTTTTTAAAGTATTTTGATATTTTTGTATCCATTGTCTTAGCATGAATTGAGGAATAATAATTACTAACATTAACAATTAAAATAAGACATGTCTGGTGATTAATTAAACTTCAAAGGCTCATGATTTGGTGCAATATTTTCCAGACAGAATTTGTTTAATTGTAAAACTTAGCAGATTAAGCATGCAACACACACTGAATAATTTTAGCCTTGCTTATAGACTATTTGTTCTGCTCAGATTGGTAAAGCACAAAATATACATTAATAACTGACCTGGAAAAGCTTTATTCTGGGAAAAATAAAAGTTTTACTGTTAATCTCAGTAAAGCCTGTGCACACTGATTGAATTGGGTGGTCTTATATGTATTAATGTATTAATTCAACATTGGTCTGAAACATTTTATTATAATAAATTAAATAGTATTACTTATCCTTTCAAATCGCTCACTCATCTGAGGCAGCTGCTGATATTTCTAGTGTGGGGCACTTTTATGTTGGGATGCAGTCTTTCAAGATAGTTAACAGTAATAAATTAATATATCAAATATATGATGCTGGTGATATAAATATATTGTTGGTTTGGAGTTAATAGAATAACATGTTAGAAACATGCTATTCTGTTTCACATGCTGTAATCATTGAAAAGAAGAACAAATGTACTTTTAAACAAACTATAATATGATAATAAAGTTTTGAACTTTAGCAGTTTCATTTTGATTCAATCCCTTTTACTTCTATGGGATTATATAATTTAGATTTTTACTTTAATAATAAGATAAAGTAATGTCTACTGCAGTTTTCTTAGGTCAAATGCAAAAAGCCTAGGCATCCACTAGATGGAAACAAGGATATGATAGCTTAATCTCTAAATAATGTACAAGGTGAACCTAAATAGCTATCTCAATTTAATAAGTCTGCCTGATTTGTAGTCAATTTTCAATGCAAATTTACCTAAAAATCAGTGATCAGTTTGCAACTATGTAACTCAAATTCTTATACATATTTATTGAAAATAAGCTTGCATTACATACATTGTCACTTGATTGCTTCAGAGGTGGTATCCAGCCAGTTCTGACAGCTTCAGGAGAACTGGTAGCAGAATTTTTGAGTAGTTTGGAAAACTGGTAAATACTACCTCTGGTTGGCCCCGCCCCCATCTATACTCTGCTTCCCGAATCCCAGCTGATTGGCTGGGTCTTTTTTTGTTGCTCTGTACAGGAGAATGGAGCTGGAAAGCAGGTTAATGGAGTGGGGTGGAAATGGAGATTTTGCAGTATCCTTCCCCTGCCATGCCCACCAAGATATGCCCACCAAGCCCACCACACCCACCAAGGCACACCACGCTTATCAAGCCATGTCCACAGAAGTGGTAGTAAAAAAGTTTGAATACCACCACTGGATTGCTTTTATGCTCACATCTCTCCTCCTTTACCACTGCTACTTCTGCAACCAGCATGTTGCATATTTTAACAAATAGTACTGGAAATAGGGACCACAAGTAATACAGACAGAAGCTCTGTCTGCCACGTTATGTCTCTACATTTTTTTTAGTAACAAGCTGCTGCTCTAGACTTGACTAGCTAACAGTACAGCAAGTTATCCTGGCCAAGAGAGGGCTGTTCTCCACTGACTAGGATAGTATTTTATGCCTCCCTGGAGAGACCCAGTTTACAACTTGAACATTGAGTCAAATTCCTTGTGTGTCCAATCACAGCTGGCCAATAAAAGAATTCTAATTCTAAATAGATGAAACTTCTTAGGACCAAAATATGGTCACAAAACAACTTCGAATGAACCTGGATATGAAAAAGAGAAAAATGAACCAAACTATTCAACTCTCTAAAGTTATGATTAAAGGGTCTGTGCAAAATTTAGAGGCTCTTAATGATATTCATGTTGTATTTTGTTTTTCAAAATATCTTGTCTCAGAACAATATATTTCAAACTAAGGAAACCTTCAAGGGGAGAAAAGTCTATTAGAAAAATTCAGGCCAAACATCAGGATGGTAGCACTTGAAGGATGGTACAAGGTCAGGGTGTCAAACGATGGCAGTAAAGAGATAATCAAAGCTCTGCTCCTTTTAAATGTGCATTAGATGCATCTCATGCACGTAAAAAGAAGCAATTTTTCAATTTCCCAGTTGTGCCTATCTCTTTTTTAAAGTTTTATTTGTTTTATTAGTATAATATATAAAAATTCCATTTCAATCAAACAGTGTGTTGTCTGGGTACAATTGTTTTT